TCCCATTGCGCAATCATGCGTGTACGTGTCGCAAGCTCACTGTGTAATTAGATGGATGTCCGGACGCGTAGCCTATCGGCTCCTCGTCCAGAACCGGTCGCGTAGCCACGGCCTAAAGTTTTTCTCAGTTACTGAGTTAGATCCAAAACAAGTTATAAATACTTACACTGACGAAACTTTCGTCCATCTCTCTGATAGACTTCCTAAGACAAGTTGACAAGTTAGACAAGTTAGTTGTTTAGAGACAAGTTGTATTCATTAACCATCATTTTATTATTGAAACGGCCCAAGTGCCTGTGAACTTACCAGGAGAGAACGAGTTCTCCAATCTCAGCTCCAGGCCGCAGTCCCCGCAGTGAACCTTGAGCCGAACATAACCCGATAGAAACCGATAGAAACGAGCAGCCCTCTCAGTCTCAATCTCAATCACCTCTAATAATAATAATAATAATAATAATAATCTCTATAAAGAAAAATCCAACAAAATTAAACTAAAGAAATTTCGACCATGCTGAAAACATCTTTAAATAAATTGCATTTAATTGTTATGGAACTGTAATTAACTTGTAATCCGATATCTAATTAATTATTGTGACAGAGATTAATTCGCGTCCCTCAAATTGTGATCCATTGTGATCAAAGAGCCTATAAAATTATTAGAGCCTGTGATCCATATAATAGATATATAGAAGATATTCCAAATCTATGCTAAGTTTCCTGTCTGTCTGTCTGTCTGTCTGTCGGTCGATCGGTTGGTGTGTGTGCGTGCGTGCGTGCGTGCGTGCGTGTGGTGCGTGTGCGCGTGCGCGTGCGCGTGCGTGTGTGCGTGTGTGCGTGCGTGTGCGTGTGGGTGTGCGTGTACGTGCGTGTGCGTGTGAGCGCGCGCGCGCGTGTGTGTGTGTGTGCCTGTCTGTCTGTCTGTCTGTCTGTCTGCCTGCCTGTCTCTCTCGATCTCTCTCTGTACGTGCAGGGGCGGATCCAGGGGGGGAGGGGGTGCAGGGGGTGCGCCACCCCCCCCCCCCCTACAAAGTTTGAGTTGCCCTTTTTTCTGGCCAACAAAATTTTTTTTCTCCAATTTAAAAAAAAAAAATATAGATTTTTTAAGCAGAAAAAAATACTGAAAAAATAAGTTGATGTTTTCCGAGGAGTTTTTTAGGGGGGACGGGGGTCTGACCCGA